CGGCTACCTACATTAGTCACTCGTTATACCGAACTTTGTAATTACGCTAATATGAGGGTCTCACAACTTCCCCTCCTCGCCATCACCGTCGGCGCCAGCCTCGTGCTCGCTCAAGAGCGCTGCGACGCGCCTTCGCCAGGCATATACTGCAACTCGACGGAAATTCTCGCCTACCACGCGGACGACTGCAAACCTTTCCACGTATTTGTCGCACGAGGTTCCGACGAACCCTACCCTGGCCGCCTAGGTAACCTTACCTCGAAGATCTGCGCAGCGATTGGAGGATCATCAGAATGTGGTTACGAGGATGTCGAGTATCCTGCAAAGAGCTCAGCATGGGGAGCAACCGCGTGGTGTGAATCAGCAAGCAAGGGTGCGAAGAGCGGACAGGAACAGATGAAGGCGTACAGCGAAAAGTGCCCAGACAGCAAGTTGATTGTACTGGGTTTCTCGCAGGGAGCATCAGTCGCACAGGACATGCTCGGTGGAGGAGGAGGTCCAGTCTTTGCATGTGAGCAAGACATGAACCCAGCTCTGGATGCTTCGATTGGTTCCAATGGTACGTACGCACGTGTAAAGAAGTCACGCTCTACACCAATTTACTAACTCCTCCGCTCCAGTCGTCGCAGCAGTAACATTTGGCGCGGTCGTCCGTTCCCGTGACCAGAACTTCACCGTCGGCCGCGGCGTAGACTACGACGGAACCAGTGCGCGCAGCCCAGAACACCTCAAAGGACTAAACGCCTACGCCGACGTCCTCCTCGACTACTGCCACTACGGCGACCCTATCTGCGCTGTTGGATCCTCGCCCCCAGACACAAACGAGCACCTGAACTACTTCTTCATGCACAACGAAGAGGTCATCAAGTGGGTATCCGGCATGGCCAAGTCAGGTGGTGATGTGAGTGCGAAACCCAGCAAGCCCGTAATCAGCCAGTCTTCCTCTTCGACAAGTGTGCCCGCGAAACCTCAAGCCACCCCATCTGGATCCGCTACCCCTTCACCTGTTGCGACGACAACTGACGATGCGACCAAGGTTGCAGCGGCTAGCGCTACGGGTGCTGCCAGCTCGCTGACTGCTACCTTTGGCTATATGTCTGGGTTGGCTTTGGGTGTAGCTTTCTTTTTGTAGATCGTTCGCGTGATCTTCTAGCGTCATACCCTACATTTCTTTCCGAGAGCTTGTATCACAAGCATCATTGTTTAGATATCTAACAGACGAGTTGAGGAGTTGAGGAAGCATACAACAAGCATATACACACGGCGTACATGGTGTTCATCACAAGTCTTGGATGGAATTCGAACATTACTCTTTCATTACTATGAAGCCATTATCATCATGACATGCAAGATACACTGGCGTTCCCAAGCCTTTTGCAAGTAAATGCAACAACCATCAACAGAAAAAGACGCCGACAATGCAATGCATGCGAAATGATATCGAAGACCACAGCGAATCTACAAAAGACCAATAGTCCTCTGCTTCATGGTCCTGACATCGACATTCTGCCAGAAGCCAACACTGAAAAGCGTGATGCAGTAGACGCAAACAGCCGAGATGAGCATGTATCTCTGTGTCTGACCGTAGCTGAGGTTGATAGCATCGCGAGTGGGGCTGCCGACAGGGTAGCTGTCCTGAACGTTGAAGTCGCCGTAGATAGCAGCGAAGTTGTCCATGGCGCTCTCAGGCAGATTGGCCATGAGACGAGCGGGGAAAACACCGGTCCAGATAGCACCCGCAACAGTAGAGCCGATAGCGCTTCCGATGGAGATGATCATAGACTCGACAGCCAAGAGCGCAGGGAAGTCTTGCTGCTTAGACACAGCCATCAAGGTGGTCTGCTCAGAGATGACCAAAATACCACCACCGAAGGCGATGAAGATCATGCACATGACAATGTAGCCAATGTTCTCGTCAGGCTGGCGGAACTTGATCATGAGACCAACACCAAGCATGGTGAGCGGCACACCCAAGAACAACGAGTAGATCTTGAGCTTTCCGTAGTATCTTAGCACAAGTCCGTAAACGATAGAGCAGAAGCAGCTGCCCATGGTGTAGATGTTGGCAATCCAAGTAGCGTGTACAGGGCTCTGGTCGAACAAGACGACGAGAAGCGAGTAGAAGTACGAGTCCCAGCAGTACCAGCCGATGTACAAAGAACCGGCCATGGTATAGGTGAAGATGACGGTTCGGTTCTTGAGCAGCGGCCATGGGATGAAGGTGACGGGTGCGCCGTACTTCTCCCACAGACCGAATGCGACGACGAGGAGGGCGCCGAAAACGAGGAAGCAGATGATGAGGGGTGAAGCCCACTGTTTGGCTTGGTAGGAGTAGATGTTGAAGGCGAGGAGGAAGAGGGAGAGCCCAGCGGCGAGGAGCAGAAGACCAATGGCATCGAACTCGCGGAGGTAGTACTTTAGCGTTTGAGCAAAGTTACCACGGCTGGGGCGGGGAGTGATGAGACCCTCCTTCTTTGCCTTGCCCTCATAGATGATGAACAGAAGCATGAGAGGTGATGTAACGATAGGCGCAATGATGGCAAAGATACCGAACGTCCATCGCCAGCCGATGCCGCCAGGAGCGGTGATGCTGTTGATACCGTATCCGTAGATCCAGGTGGTGATGAGCCATGGAGAGGACGCATATCCGATGAACAGTGCTCGGTTCCTCAACTTGGATGTATCGGCGATGAAGACCGTGATGAAGAAGTCGATACTGTTGGAGCCAACGTAGAAGAAGGTCTGTGCCGCGCAATAGGCCTTGACGTTGTTGCAGCTCGCCATCAGGATGAGGCCGAGGACGTAGATGGCTACACCCAGACCGAGACCGAAAGGTCGGCCCCAGATGTTGAGGATCTTGGCATAAGGGAGCTTCCAGATACCGCCGACGATGGAGGAGATGACGCTGGTCAGGGCGGTCAAGGAGTGCAGCTGGAAGTCGCTGGTGACGTAGGGCGCGAGGGTGCTTGAGGTGCTGGATGCGTAGGCAGTGAAGAATTGGATGAACCACATGCTGTTGTCGTTAGTGTAGTTCTGAAGCAATGTGGGGAGAGTGACTTACGCAATGTACGCGAGGATCAAGTCTCGCTTCTTCCACAGGAGCGAGGCAGCTTGTACATGCTGAACACCTGCCTCCGCGGTGGTGTCGACTTTGTTCAGTTCCTCATCCGATTCTCGACTCCTGGCCGACTCCCTCGGGCTGCCGACCTTCTCGTCAGGACGAGTAGCATCCATGCTGGTGTGGCCCTGGTAAGAAGCAGGCACGTCGGCAATGTCCTTCTCATTGGCATCGGCATTTTTGGTGTTGCCAGAGACCAATGCACTGGTAGTCAATCCCTTGAAAGTGAAACCCATCTTGGCGATAGGTGTAAAGGCACACCAAAAGAGAGGCTGTGATGAAGACGAGACGAAGAGATTGATAAGACAAGGTACCGCGCGCGCCTCAGGTTCATATACCGAAAACACTGATCCACGCAGTTCCACCGCAGGACCTTTCCGAGACGCGCCCGGTTACCGGCTCCTCGTCGCTGGGTGGGGAATTCCGTTCACGTTCACCATGAACAAGGAAATAGTTGTGAATATCACGCGCTCGCTCCCTGTTAGCATCATGCACCGAAGCTTGACTTTCCTGAATGCAGTTGGGTCCCCGGAATTAAGCCTTCCCAAGCACGGCCCAGACAGCCTCCAAAATCTTATCTCGATAATCAGCCGGCATCTCGGGCCAATAGGAGCGAGCGGTGGCGTGACGCGTGGGTTATCAGATGAAAATTTTCGATCTAATCATTATCTGATCAAAACCCGCAAGCCACGACGCCTGCCTGTACCACTCCACTGCTTGCCCTCTGCTCCGTCATGCCTTCGTAAAGCGGGGGTACCGAGGGAGATGATGGTACTTAGTCTGCGACTACGGACCTGCCGATGGTGCTTCCAATAGTCGATAGCCGCCGGGCATGTGGTGGAGCTTGCTCGGGGTTTCTGCAGAATTTGCTTCATTGCTCGTACCGTGGTGGCGGCCTTATAGATAGGAAAGGATAGAAGTGGAGGGATGGAGCGGGAGGAAAGGTACAAACGGGTCAACTGGAATACGGGAAGCTTTTGCTTGCAGGCATACCGTTCCTGCCATCGTCGGGGTCCAATCGCATCCCATCGTCGCTGCTGCTATGAACGAAATCAAGGGTCTGGCAGGTTGGCGTAGGTGGGGCTGACGGTTGGGGTGCTCGTGCGAAAGACGTGCTAACGGCGGCTAATCCTTCTTCCTCGGGTCCCGACAGCAGGAAAGGCTTTCTTGAGCGCAGATCCACCCATCCACCAGCCTGGAAACCGAACGTGATGCTTTCCGTGTGATGCCGGGGAGCAGAAAGAGAAGAAGCGATGGCGTCGTCCGTCGGTGGTCGCGCAGAGGTGCAACTTCGATGCGCACCAGTCATGTCAGCGGCCGACAATCGGACATGCGCGCGTCGCGTACCTGCCAGCTGCGATCGGTTGCGTACATGTCTACGTCGACCTGCACACGACACTGCATGTTTCGCGTACGCCCCAGATAGGTGGCTTGTCACTTACTTTGCATCTTGTTATTATAGCATGCGATTGCCACGACATTTGCATCACACTGTACGTACCGGGCACGATGTATGGCGTCGTGAGTACCGGAACGTACACCTTCGGACCACCACTGATGTTCAACAGCAAGTCGCATGAAGTGAAGGCTCCTGAGCGCATGATCATGCCGATCAAGTGGAGCTGTGTAGTTGTCGAGACACTATTATGGGCACATTGAAGCGTTGGTTATACTCAATATTTGATTCCTTCCGTTGCATGGTCGGCTATAGCCATGTCTGTTTCCTTGCGTTCTTCGACCTTTTGATAACTTCCTTCTAGCAAGCTGATTCCTTAACTCTTAGGTACCGCTCCAACCCGACCCCTCCTCTCCGATCATATGCTCTGCTCATTGCGTCATACATCTTCTTCACCCACTTTCGGTGTGTCGACATCTCGACGGCCTAACGAATGAGATAATCCGCCAAGCTCATCTGGTGCTCCCGCCTCCTCTCAAGTGACTGTCTCGTCGCTTCGATAAAGTTCATGCGGAAAAAGTGACAAGCCTCGAGCGTGTCCGACCATTGTTCCTGGTCCCCGTGTTGGACAATAGTATCATCGCCCCAGTTACGAACGATGACGTCTTGTATCAGCCTCTGCAGCGGCGACGTACCGTGGACAGCCCCCACCTTTTCGACGTCGCAGGTGCGTAGGATCAAGTTGGCCGTCAGTGGCTGTAAGAGTGGACGTGAGAGGGCTTCGAAGAGGCGCTCCATGGCGTAGTTCTGGAATCCCTTCGCACCCAGGCTAGCGCCGAGCTGCCAGCACAGGATCGCTGCTTTGACGGTCCAGTCCATCATACCGAAAAACCAGCCCTCAAGATCCATGCTCTCCGAATCAGACTTCGGTGATCCTAGAGAGCTTCGATATGCCAAAGACACCACCAGTCCTTGTTTCTCTTGATACCTGCGGGTATACAGCCACTGAACAAACAAGTCGAATGTTGCCGGGTCGTGCTCACTGCCCAATATATAGCAGTCCTTGTAGATGTTTTCTTTAAACCGGCCGGCCTGGCATTCGCTCTCGACCAGGGTCATGTGGATCGACCATTTTCGGCCTGTTTGTCGATGGAGAATGCTATCAATTGTACCGTTTTGTGTACTGAATGTGACTTTGAGTCAGTGATAGCTTGTCAACAGGTTTCCATTAGCAACATACCTTCTCAAGACAGCCTCTCCATGAGTGCAATGCTCGATGCCTCGCGGATTCGCGGATCCAGTCGCCATGTTGTTGCTATATCTGGTGGTATCGGTAGTGGTTGAAGGTTTGGTGAAGTAGAAGGTGGGAGTAGGAAGCAGAAACTGAGTCTTGATATACCAGCGTCCGCCGGGTAAGGTGAGAGAACGTCGCGCTCTCATCTTTCCACGTAGTGAGAGTGTATTTACTGTCCAACATGAGGTCACCCTCACACACCACATTTCATACTCGATGCGAACATGTCATCAAATATCAAAAGAGACTTCGTCGTATGGCGGGGACCAGGTGACTTTGAGCGGGCGTATTCTGCAGTGGTTAACAAGACCGACATGCAGACTTCAAACAGCTGTTCGCATTTGAACATAACAACGTAAAGCTCGCAAGTACTGCGATGATAACATTATTCGTATCAACTTGGATACTTAGATATATCTTAAGCCTTGGCTTCGCTAATGATACAGTTCCCAATCCAGACATGAGAAAAGTCGTCGAATGATCGCGGACAAGAAAGCTATGTTCACCGGTGGACGTAAACGGCAGTTAACAAATCCGAATGACTTCCTTCCAAGCACCAGCGTCAATGCGCAATGCAGACATCACGCAACGACCTCAGTACATAAACTTATCTTTCATGCGAGATCATGACCTCAGAAGAGAAATCCATTGGAAGAGAGAATTATTAGTGGCAGCAACCAGCCACTTGTTGAATGATAACCCAGTGCAAAAGACTTGACCGCTACCTAGGTTTCGTCGGTCCAGGTTCTCGACCCGCACTCGACATTTGGCTATAGCTTGCGCATACCATCCCACAGAAAATCTAAGTTATCTGTAAAGTACCGGCTTGTCACTCGCCACCTGGCGTTCGCTTTCTTGACACTACCTCCGAACCAAGCCCTCAATCGATACTTGGCCCACAGCCACAACTTGCGCAAAAGAACGCTCTTGGATATCATATCCACACTATTGTGGGGCGTGGGTAAGGTTTAGCCACTGAACCCCACCCTTTCTTAGCTGTGTCCTGGTCTCTGCGGCCAAGATGCACAAGGTGCTCAACGACAAAGACCACCGGGCGAGACTTGCAGAGGTAGTTTATTGCGGTATCAATAGTAGGGCCGAGAAGGCCTTGACTTTGGTTGCCACCATGGCTGTCATCCGGAAATGCGGGCGCTCCGTCCCACGAAATCACACACGTGGATCATCTATACGGAGGGTCTCCGATTGGTCATATTGGCTGTATGGGGTTGCCCTGCAGCTGATGTTCTGGCAGGTGCGTTTTACACATTTCCGCGGAAAGAGCGACGTACGTTCCCTAGCGAATTCTGATGGCTGTTGGGACATGTAGCATGAGTATCAGAAATCGAAGGAACCGTTCACGCTCTTAAGAGATTGAGATGAGTTTGAAGTTTAGAAGAAAGAAGAATTTATTCGCAATATCACAATCATAGGGTATCTAATCGTCAAAGTTCGCCGCAACCAGCTCATGCTCCCTTCTACGCACAGCAACCAGTCGGCCCTGCCGCTTCAATAGAAGAGCGTCTTGTGTCCTTCTCATCGACCTGACCATATGGTATCCTGACCACCATCCAGTCGCACAGGAACTTGCCCAAGACAGCACCCAGTATGATGGAGATGAAGATGTATCCATTGAAGTGCATGACCAGCAACATGATGATGTACGCAAGACCGAGAGTTAAGCCATGAATAGAAGCGCGAACGAGTTGTTGAAGTGCCGTGGCTCGGAAGGTAGCATGTTGGAGACCGAGAGTCGAGGTGGGGCCGTCGCAGCAGTTGGTGGGTGTCGCAGCAGCGAGAGCCGCCCGTTGTGCGTTAAGTTGGCGCTGGAACTGGCGGAGAAGTAAAGCATCGTATTCGTGGCTGACTCTTCGTAGGAATTCGAGGCAGACGACTAGGAGAGCTGCGCCGATGCAGCTTGCGGCCATCATGCCGTTGTTGGTCACGTGCCATGATTCGGAGAGGAAGCAGGCGTCTTCGACACGCCAATTCCACAGCATCTAAACACAGTGAGTCGTGATATCGAATTGACAAGATATGAATTGCACACCTCTGTGACGCAGGTGCTGTTGGGAGCCATTCCGGCCATTCCTGACATTCCGTGCATGATGGCGATGATGTTCTTGGGCCTGCGAAGTTTGGATGGATGTCAGAGGCTGAACCACGGAACAGGACTGTCAAATTGATATAGCAGACGTCGGACCAGACCCTGCGACTGCAGATGCGACGCCATGATATGTAGGAACGAGATGCCGTCTCACGACAGTCTGGCCCGAGCAAGCAAGCCGGCAATCGCGCCGCGAATTATGGGGGAACTTGCTCAAACACACTCGCACTAGCCACTTTGATGGCCCCAAGAGAGCGGGAACCGCCCAAAGACCCGCCTAAGCGTCGCCGCCCACTTCTCGAAGCCTTGGCCCGCGTTTTTGCGAAACGTGCTCACCACGTTTCCGGTGTGCAATGCCCGGCCGGCGATAGGTCATATACATATGCGGCGCACTCCACCCCGAAACATGCAGCACGCATCGCATCTTCAATTCTTGCTTTGACCATGGCCGCTGACATGCTCGTCGCGCGTGCGCACATCCAGAACTACTCCGAGGCGAGCGCTGTCGAGCCGCATTGGGGCTACGCAGATCGCCTCGTCCCCTGCACCAGCGACCCTGGCTCCTGCGAGTACCTCGACGTTGTCTACCGCAGTCATGACCTTGGCATGTACTACAGCGGCATCATTTGGGCCACCATTGGCGCCATCCTGCTGGTGTGGGCTGTGGGCCGACACTTTGCACGCTCGCAACCATCCGGCGTGCAACTACCAAAAGAAATAGGAGAAGGAGTACCCCAAAGACGCAGCGCATTCGAAAGAATTCAACGGGCGATTCCCTCATACGCACGACGATATCTTCTTCCTGATGCCGCGCGACCAATCTTCGGACGGGTGACCCGCACCCAGGTCCTGACCCTCGTTGTCCTGACCGGCTACCTGACCATCTTCACCTTCATCGGCATTGTTTACAAGAAATGGGTAACGCCCGTCAAGAAGATGCCCGGCGTCTACAACACACGAACCAGCCTCGGGCCATGGTCCGACCGCATTGGTGTCATCGCATACGCCCTCACGCCTCTCTCCGTTATGCTCTCGACACGCGAGTCCATCTTGTCACTCGTCACTGGCCTGCCATACCAGAGCTTCAACTTCCTCCATCGCTGGTTGGGATACATCATCTTCGCCCAATCCGCTCTTCACACCATCGGCTGGTGCGTCATTGAGATTCGTCTCTACCAGCCGCAGCCCACTGTCGCCGCGGAATGGATTGTCCAAGAGTACATGATCTGGGGAGTAGTCGCAATGCTTCTCCTGACTCTCCTTGTTCTGCTCTCGACGCCCTGGGGTATCCGTCTCACCGGCTACGAATTCTTCCGCAAGGCCCACTACGTCCTCGCTATGGTGTACATTGGAGCCTGCTGGGGACACTGGGCGCAGCTCAAGGTCTTCCTCCTCCCCGGACTTCTGGTCTGGTTCATCGACCGCGCTATCCGGCTTGCTAGATCAGCCCTGCTTCACTACAACTTCCTGCCCTCTGGACACATGGGCTTCCGTGCCGCTTCTGCAAATATTGCGCTTTTTAAGGACGATGTCAACGGCGATGTCGTGCGTCTAGACTTCGACCACCCTCAGGATGCCTGGGCAGTCGGCCAGCACTTCTACCTCACATTCCCGGATAGCTCCATCTGGCAGTCCCACCCATTTACACCAATCAGCCGCCCGGTCTACGGTGCTGACTCCCAGCGCCACTCGTACATTTTCCGCGCAAGGGGCGGAGAGACGAAGAAGATTGCCGACCTGTCCATGAAGCGCATTGCGAACATGTCAAGCCACCAAGAATCGCACGAGAGCCTAATGGCTGATGCTCGCCTTTCTGTCGTCATGACCGGACCCTACGGCGAGCGCACCATGCGTGGGCTTGCTGCCAACTCCAACATCCTCTGCATTGCTGGCGGCACCGGTATCGCTTACGTCCTCCCCGTACTCCTTGACCTTGCTTCAAGCCCACAGTCGCCTGACCGCCACATGACGCTCATCTGGAGCATACGCCGAAGGAGCGACATCGACTGGGTCGGCCCAGAACTTGCTACCCTCAAGCGCAAGTGCCGCAACCTGCGAACCGGTATTCACATCTACGTCACCCGCGCCGCAGAAGAAGCAAACCTCGATCTCACAGTCTCAGAGAAGGCCGCGCCCAACGAGTGCTCCAAGGAGATCAATTCCGCCTCTGATTCTTCATCTGCCGACGCATCGTCAGCGCTGTCAGTTCACGGTGTCGCAAAGTCGGAGTTGGGACTCAACCACATCCAAGCCAGGCCTGATCTAGATACCATAGTGTCAGAGTTCGTTGCCGGCACTGTACGAGGTGGCACCGAGGTGTTCGCTTCGGGACCTGGTGGTATGATCAGCAATCTTAGGCGGATAGTCGCGAAGAACAACAAGGGCGGTGAAGTTTGGAAGGGAGACGATAGGTGGGATGTACGGTTGACGTGTGATGATCGATTAGAGTGGTAGCTTGCTTGACCTAGATACCCCAATTGCATTGCTTTCATGTTCAACATGTCTTCCTCTCGGGTGATGTTGTGACCTCTCTTGTGCAACTTTAGCTGCGTTCTGACAAATTGCATGATGCGTAATATCAGTTGGAGAGTCGGCAGAAACTGATGGATTTCGGCGTTCCGGCTGTTTGCTGACTAAAAGCTGCGCTAGCGCCCGTTGTGACGTTTGCGGGTGTTCAGCTTGCCGCTCGAGACAGTGACGTCTTCATTCGTTACACAGACATTCTCATGTTACACAAGCATCTCAGCAAGCACCAAGTAACGCGCAATCCTCAAAGAACGAGGGATTGTTAGAGTGGCGTCGGCCCGCTGCGAACTACACGGTGACAGGCCTTATCTCCGGACCCCACATCGTCACCACTTGGACCCTTGATCTGTCTCCGCTTTCCACCTTCGCTACCAACTGCTTTGA